TGAAAGAGGAAACAACATTTTAAACAGAAAGGACACTGTTTGCCTGACTTGAGAACACATACAGACTTCTTAGAGCACAAAAGACATAACAAGCTGGGTAGGATAACTTATGCCAATAATCCCAGCATTTAGGATGAGACGGAAGAATCACTGTGAGTTTGAGGCCAGCCTGCGCTGCCATAGTGGGTCTCAGGCTAGCCTAGGATAGCAGGCAACTCAATGGAAGGTTGTGCAAATGATTTGGAACAAGGGCTGGAGAGATGGCTCAGCAGTTCAGAGCACTTAGTGTTCTCACAGAAGACCAGAGTTCGAGCTCTGATACCTGCATCCGGTGATTCACAGCCACCTATAAGTCCATCGTGTACATGCTCAACACACATACACACTTAGAAAATAAAATAATAAATCTGTTTTAAAAAGTCTTGGAACTGGGTGAGGTGGTGCACGCCTGTAATCCCAGCACTCCAGGAATCAGAGGCAGCGGATATCTGTAAGTTTGAGGCCAGCCTGGTCTACAACGTGAATCCAGGACATCCAGGGCTACATAGAGAAACCCTGTCTCGAAAACCAAAAACCAAGCAACCAACAACAACAACAAAAAGATTTGGAATAAGTATTTCAGAGAAAAATACATCCAATTGGCTGATAAAAATATGAGAAAAGCTCAGCTTGATTATTGGCTTGGTTACCATGGTAATGTAAGTTTAAACTATAACTTGATTCCATTTCATACAAGAAGATCGGGAGATGACTGGCTCATGGAGGCATTAACTTCATCAATGGGTTAATTCATTAGTGGTTGGTTCTAAGAGGGCTATTAAAATGTATGGCCTGGCTGGAGGAATAGTTCAGTGGGGGTATGTTTTGCCTGACCCCTCCTGTCTGTCTCCGTCTTCAATCTGCCATGAGCTGACTTGCCCTTCTTCATGGTCCCTAACTTTGTGATGTTCTGCTGAACTAAGAACAGGTCAGAAGCATTGGGAACAAATGACTCTGAGGTAAAGGATGGGCAGAGCCACTTTATATTCTATATCACAAGAGTACATTTGCAGTGTAAATTGTAGACAGGAATCTGTATGTACACACTGTAACTCGGATAATCATGGGGAGGAATGTGAGATTCATCGGCCTTGGGCCTATGTGAATACCCCACTACAGAGAAAAAGAGAGATGAAGATGAAGGGAAATCACAGGAGAAATAAGAAAAGTACCAACACCATGAGTTATAAAGATAAGGCTTGATCACCTGACTGGAAGCGCCAGACTAAAGTTTGAATTGATTCATCGCCTTTGTTCCTGTTCCTTATAGAATGGGCTAGTTAGCAATGGTCTGAGTAAAGCACATTTGGGAATGATAATACTCTGGCCTCCTAGATTGCTGGTTCTGTGAATAAAGTCCTGTTTGAAGATTCACTTCCTGCCTGTGCTCATTGGCTTCTGTAGTAACAGGCAACACAAACTACTTGGGTTCATATCTTGGTAAGCAGAAAGCCAAAATAAACATGGTCAAGTCATAAAAGTAGAGAGGAGAAAGATTTATTGCCTGAAGCAAGGAAGGAAAGCATAGGATTTATTTCCAAAGTAATGCCTTCCTTGAACAAAGGGAGAGTGGGGATTTCATTCAGGGAGCCTATACATACTCATATAGAAGCTGGCCCAACGCTATGCCTTGCCACTTAGAGAGTACATCCCTGGGTATGCTCTGTATGATGTGGAGTACATGTTTAGAAGATGAAAGCAAGGCAGGAATGCCTCTGGCCATGCTCAGCACCACAAAACTTATGCTGAAAATGAAGACTCTCTGAAGGCACATTAATACAGGAGCCTGTTCTGAAGGTACCTGCCTCAGTGGCTATCATAATACCTGAAATACTTGGGTGATTCTGAGGTAATAGCATGATTTGTTCTGTTTTTTAGACAAGGTCTCACTGTGTAGCCCTGGATGGCCTGGAATTTACTATGTAAACTAGATTGGCCTAGAACTCACATAGATCCTCCTGCCTCTGCCTCTCAAAAGTGCTCAGATTAAAAGTGTATCCCAGCAACCTAGCCATATCTGTTTCTTTGTCTGGGGAATGATTATATAGGCTCGTTCACTTGTTAAGGGTACATCAGTCTATATCTTTAAGCTGAATCCATTTTCTCTATGGTATTTTCAATTACACAAAATTTTTTAAACCGAAAAGCATTACCACAGCAATATGGTAGTAAATTTAGGCTAAAAAGGTACTGCATGTAATGGCTCATACCTGTTATTCCAGAACTCAGGAGGCTAAGGCAAGAGTGTTGCTGTAAGTTCAAGGATGACATGGACTACAGTGTCAGGCTCTTCTCAGTATCTACCCACATCACCAAGTTCAGCACAGAAAGCAGGCAGCGAAGAAGAATCCAGAGAATAAAACCTCCAATGTTTTGATTCATACCTTTTAATGTTTATCTCTGTCAACACCTTAGACCCTGGAAAAGTCTTATTTGAATATTTTGTGAATTATGGCCAGTTCACAAGGGCTGAATTTGGCCTGATTCCGGCCAGCAAGATGGTTTAGTGGGTCAAGGTACTTGTCACCAAACCTGAGACCTGGGATCCAGGATGGAAAGAAAGAACTGGTTTCTGAAACTTGTCTTTTGACTTCTACAGTTTTACGTCTCCACTCCCACAAAATAAACAGATAAATGGGAAAACAAACAAGGAGTAGGCTGTGGCAGAGAAAACCTGATTGTCAACATCAGAGCCTGAATTTTATTTTATGTATATGAGCGTTTTGCCTGCATTTATGATATGCACCACATATGTGCAGAGCCTGAGGAGGTCAGAAGAGACCATTGCAGGAGTTATGGATGGTTGTGAGAGCCACCATCGTCCTCTCTGCAAGAGCAGCAGACACCCTTAACTAAGCCACCTCTCCAGCCCTCTCAGCTTCCATTGAAGTTACATAGGGCTACAGCGTAAAAAGACCCTGACTCAGACAAACACACAAGTAAACGAACATAAATTCTCTGCCTGGAATAAAGAGAGGCAAACCCCAGGGATCCATCAGCTTAGCTTGTTCCTGAGGACTCTAGGCAGTACCATCATTTCTCTCCTGGGCCCAGTCTACCACTTCATTCTACTGACACATAACTAATGCCAACAGCTTACATTTTGGAATTTATCTGTTACAAAAGCCAGCATTTCCCTAAACAATACAATGAAGAACCTGTACTTTTATTGCTTGGTACAATAGTAGTACAATAGTCTATGGTCCAACATTTGGCTCTCATAGGCTATAACTGATATTTTTTGTTTGTTTGTGACAGGATGTCATGTAGCCCGCTCTGTATTAAAAATTAAACCAAACCAAAAACAAAACCCAACTCTCCACGTAGTCAAAGATGACCTTCCACTCCTGATCCTCCTTCCTCTACCTCTCAAGTTTACAAGCATGTACCACCCTGCCTGGCTCATAACCAATATCCTATTAGCATACTTTATAATTAGAAATAGATTTGGTGTGGAATAAGCACATCTCCTCAAACTCACATACTGAAGTACTCCTAATCTCCTCCCCCAAGCCCTGCATCTCACAGTCGGACTTCTTTTGTTAGTGGGGTCTCTGCACAGCCAAGGAATAAAGATGAGGTCATACTTGAGTAGGGCGGACCCACTTCCTCACAAGCCCTTGTAAACTGGGACATTTGAACACTGACACGCAAACAGGAAAACGCCACCTGAAGGCTGGGATTTTGCTGCCATAAGCCAAAGGTCTGGAACGAATTGTCCTCAGTGCTTTCAGAAGGAGTGTGACACCATGATACTTTGATCTCCAGCATCTGCCTTTCAGAACTGCAAGACAACAACTTTCTGCTACCCAACCCACCTAGCTTGTGTTGTTTTATTTCTTCCGCTCAGAAGAATTAAACAGGCTTCCATTCTCATCTATTTTGCCACCTTTTCCCCTTCAATGCCTCAGTGCAAACCAAGAGACCCAAAACCTGATCCTGTCAGTTCCCAAATTAAAGGTGATGCAGTTACCCCATCCACCATTTATAGACTATCTCCCATCTTCTGAGAGAGGTTCACAGGGCTTTTACTGAACTCAGTTCACACTTTCTTCTCAGCAATGCTGAACTTCTGGGCTCCGCCTAAACACAGGAGACTATTTCAAGCTCTTGACCTTTGTCCGTTTCCCAACAATAATTTCACTCATGCTCCTACCTATTTTTCTTATCCTCTGAGATTCAGCGCAGACATTCTTTCTGCAAGGAAACATTCCCTGGTTCTGGCCGCCCACCAGCATCCTGCCCCACCAGCCCCAGCTTCCTGTATGGAGGCAGGTGACTTTTTTTTTCTGATTCCTGCTTTTTGTTAAAATGATCTATGTATCCTCTTGCCACACTAAGATGTGTATTGTAGATGCCCTGTAATTGTGCGTATGTACACATAACTACATCAACGGTGTTTAAAATAAGTTCAGTTCTCTACGGGGTTGATAGGGGGCGCTACAAGAGGTAGGCGTCTATGGGTTGGAGTGAATTATGAATAGGATGGATTCCTATCCTAAACCAGGAGGCTCATTATCTACAAAGCTTCTTTCATCTTTCAAGCTGGTTGACACTCAGAGAAGCCAGGGCGGAGGTTTGGGAGGCGCAAAACCAAGATTTCCCCTCCTCCTCCCACCAAGAGCTCACATAAGCCATTAGAAAGAATGCCGGACTGGCCCACGCCGACAAGTCATTCCCATAAGAAGTGGCATGATGTCTTCCATGTAATGTACTGAATGCCGTGGGCGCTCCAAAGTCATGCAGCCTTTCGGGGAGGGGGCTAGGGGCCAGGCGGGAAGCACAGGGAATGAAGAGATATATTCAACACTGATTTCTGAATTCACTGAGTTGCTTCCCACGGCCACTGAGCTCTCTCCCCTCCTCCAGCCCTGAAGATATTCTGGCTCTGCTCTACCCCCCCCCCCCCCTCTCTGTCAAAAGCCCCAAGTTCTTTTCTCCAGACCCTTCTGGTCTCCTACCTGGCTGGATGAGAAACAGGTAGACAAAAGGAGCTAGGCGCAGGGCCCTGGAGACTCTTGACAGGGCTCCCCTTTCTCTCTTCATTTTGGGTGGCGTTCTCCAGCTCTGGTGCAGACAATTAGCATGATTTCTCCACTCCGGGCACGTCCCTTTGTACCACTCGGAGTTTCTCTGCCCGGGCACAACCCTGCCAACTTCCCTCTGAATACACAGAGCTCTGTGTGTTGCTGGCCTTGTTCTCAGCTCTTGCTTCGCTCAGACCTAGCATTTTCTAGTTTCCAAGCCCTTCGCTCCCCCAATTTGGACAGGAATATCTGCTTAGATGCTAATTTCCATGGCAAGTTCCATCCTATGGGGCCTCTGGTGGTCCAGCTGTTCTTGGCTTGTCTGCAGTAAAGCCCCACTCCCAAGGCAGATGCAGATCTGGGCTCAGTGTCCCAGCTTACATGGCTCCACCTCACACTCCTCCTTCTGTTCCATGACAGAAAGATTGGAAAAGGCCTTGATTTCGGTTACTTTCACGCGTGTTCTAGTTGGGAGTCTCTCCAATCACAGGTGCAGAGAGATGCTGGGAGCATCTTTCCAGAAGCCACTCTACCATCCCTCTACAGCTAGTGTTCTAGGACATGTCAGAGCCAAGAGGAGGTTAATACCCCGCAATCCAGTGCACTGGGGTTCTGCTATCAGTGTAACAGCCTAACAGGCCCTCCTGTCTCTGAAGACCGGTGCAGTCACTCCACTCATAAAATGCTTATTTACTCTGCAGTAATGGGATGGATGCAATTCCTTTGAGCCCTTGATTTTTACCTCTGTAAAATGGCTAAAATAGCAGCCTCCTCAGAGGAATTACTGGGAGGATTGCTGAATTGCTTCTGTGAAAGCGGTTAAGTGAGTACATGTCTGTAATCCTAGCACTAAGGAATGTATTTAATCTGGAAGTCAAAACTAGCCTATGTTGAGAGACTTAAAACTTTGAGGGCCATCCAACACAGTCTTACTTTTTTTTTCTTTTTTGTATGTACAGTTCAGTGGCTTTAGTATTTTCACAAGGTTCTGAGACTGTCACAAATATCCATTTGTTGTTAGCTCTCCCCAAATAAGACTCCTACTCTTAGCTGTCACTACCTATACTTTCTCTCTCCAGCCCCATAAGTTACTGATCTACTTTCTGTCTGTGTGGATTTGCCTACTATGGGTATGATATATAGATGACACCATATCCATCATGCCTGTTTCTAGCTTTCTACAGAACTCCCAAACTGTTTATATCTCACCAGCAATTCGCAGGTAGCACTGTGTAAGACCCTCTTCACATATTTGCTTGTCTTTGTTCTTGAGACAGGGTCTTATGTATCTTAGTTGCCTTTCAACTTGCTATATAGTCGAGGATGACCTTGAACTCCTGATGTTCCTGCTACCATGTCTCAAGTACTGAAATTCCAGGTATATACCACTATGCCCTGTTTTATTGGCCTTCTCCCTTAAAAAAAAATTAAAAATTTTAATTCTTTGGCTATTTCATACATGTCTATAGTATATTTTGTTCATTTCGCCTCCCATTATCTTTTCTTATTTCCTCCCAGTTCTTCTGGGAAGACCTTCTTCCCACCAAATCCTCCTCCAATTTATATATATATATTTTTGAGTGTCAGAGGATGGCCAAGCAAGGAAGCAAAGTTTATTGAAGACAAAAGGAAGAGCTCTCTGAAGCTGGTCGGGGACCAGAAAATAAGTTATTCTTTTATGTTTTTATTTTAATTTGCTCTGTTTTTGTGACCTGCTAAGTTTTATCAGTGGTGTTTACATGAGTACAGGTGGAGGATTTCTTTCTGGAGCATGGCTAATCTCCCAGCGGTTATACCACTAACGAAAATGACCTATCTCCCCTCAGCAACCATTAACTATCTAACTCTTTAAGAAGAGGTAGGGCCTTGTGTGTGCGAATGTGTGTAAGACAACTCAGGGGAGTTGATTCTCTCCTCCCACCATGTTGGTCCGAGGTATTGAACTCAGGTTTGGTGACAAGTACCTTTACTTGTTGAGCTGTTTCAACAGTCCCTATAGCCTCTCACATTTTAAAAGAGGCCTTTTCTTCCTTCCCTTTCCATTCATGCAGGGATCATTTTATCTTGGTGAGATCAAAATTCACAACTCCCTTCTATGTTTATTATTATTATTATTTTATTTATTGAGAGAAGGTCTCACTGTAGCCTTGAACTCCTGATTCTTCTTCCTCCATCTCCCAAATGCTAGGCCTTTGGACATGTACTACCACACCTGGCTTCACAACTCCCCATCAGTTACTTTTATTCCTGGCCTTAGTTTTGTAATCATACAACTGTCTCTACATATTCTTTTTACAAATCAGGACAAGCCCATATGGGCCAGGTTTCTAAGAATGAAGCACCACTGTGTCACTGCCCATCAAAGCCAGAGGGCATCCTGGAGGAACTCCAGATAATGCTCTGAAATATGTTGGGTTTTTTTTTTCCCCTTCTCCTTTTCTATGTCTGAGTCTGTGACTTTTGTGTAGACAACTCAAGGCACCTATCTGCTTCTGAAAAGCTATTGTTATAGCAGACGTGCAAAGCAGAAGGGAAAGGCAGCTTTTAGCTCTTGGCATTTAAAGTTGTATTTTAAAGTTAGTAAGAAGATGAAAAGCTTAATAGATAGTCTAAAGAACAAAAAAAACATTATTTTTTTTTTTTTTATCTTTCCCTCTGACATATCATGGAGCAGCCTGTAAACCAGATCAGAGGTTTTATGTTTGTTTGCTTGTTTTTGTTTTTTTTTTTTTAAATGTTGTAGAAGAATCATTTTTGTTTGTGATGGCTTGAGATTTCCTATGTGGGAAAAGGAGATAGGATGTTCAGGAAACAGAAAGCTTGATGCCAGACTTTTTAGTCTGAAGTACTGCAGAAAATAAACTATGACAGAGGGAGAGCTAAAAAGGATTTATAGTCCCAACGCCCTGCCCCAGAATGTCCATAAGAAGACTCAGAGATGTTAAGTGGTAGGAATCTGGCAGAAGGCAGACAAGTGCCCCTGTGTATTGGAATTCCGGTGCCTGAGTAGACGAGGCAGCTCAAATGCTGTGTAGGAGCAGGGGATTCTCAGAACAGCAGGTAGAGACACCAATACTGTCTGCCTCTTGCTATGTCACCTCAGCCACACCCCCTGCACCCCTCCTTCCTAGAGAAGAGCTGGGGTAGAAAGAAGAAAGGAGAAAAACAGCCACTCAGAGAACCTTAAGAAGCCAAGTTCAGGAGGATGGACTAATGATTTTTCTGAGAGGTCAGTGTACGATCACAACAGTTACAAACACATACGAGTACTGCCTTGCCTTCATCTGTCTCAGTGAACAATGCAGAATTTTGCAATCCTGTTTTGGATGGCTTTGAGAAGAGCAGACTTGTAGACGCTATAATTATAAAGGCATATAATTCTCTTCTAATAAATAAAGGCTCTTTAATTAAAGAACTGTGTTTATGTCATCTGTCCTGGTTTATTTTGTCATCCTTCCATGTATTCTTTGGGTTCTCCTTCTGTGTGTATTTATCTAATTGTTTTTTTGTTTGTTTGTTTGTTTGTTTGAAGAAAGGGAGGGAGGGAGGGAGGGAATTCTGACTCCTCAACTCTGTATGCTGAGAAGCTGAACCTCCTGTCCTCAAAGCTATGCTATTGGTTCTAACATCTCAGAACAAAATCCCTTATCCATCCACCATGTACATACTCACCAGTTGAAACTATGGAGTGTGTGTTCTGGAACAAGGGAAGGAGAAGCTAGTAGTTTTAACTGAGTCACCATCCTAAGTAAGCCTCTTCAGGAACCGGAGGAAACAAACTGAAAAGCAGGAAGGGAAATTGCAAAGGTACATTCCGTCTTCCAAGTACTGAGGTCTTGAAGAATCAGCAGGGCAGACCTAGTCAGTGGACTTCCCCTGCAGCCAGATCTGCCTTTGTCCCACTTCTTCATTTCCCAGTGAAGAATACCAAGAACAGGAAGACTAATTTGTTCAAAGTTAAAGTATTATTAATCAGGGGACCAAGACTCTCGAGCAAACACACACACCACCACTACCGCCAACACTAACAGTAGTAGTAGTAGAAAAGAAGGCTTGAGATATAGCTCAGTGCTATAATACTGACTTGGTGTGTGCCAGGTCCTGCCTTCAGTTCCTGGTTTTGTAAACAATAACAGTAAGTACACAATAAAAGGTAGATGTGCTAGATATGCACTTGTAATCCCAGTACCTATGATGCTGAGGCAGGAGAATTTTCATGTGTTCAAGGCTACCTTGGGCTGCATAGTGAGTTCCAGGCCAGCCAGGCCTATAGAGTGAGAGAGACCAGGTCTTTAAAAAAGAGGAACATGAAAATAGAAGAGGGGCTAGCTTGGGAGTTGAAGAGGATTGTGGGAATGGGGCCAAAGAGTGTAATAAGAATGAATATGATGAAAATAGGTTACGTATATTCATTATAAGAATGTTGGGGGCAGAGGAAGGCAGATCTCTGTGAGTTCAAGGCCAGCCTAATCTACAAAGTGAGTCCAAGACAGCAAGGCTACACAGAGAAACTCTGTCTCAAAAAACAAAAACAAACAAACAAAAGAATGTCATGAACTTCATTATATATAAAAGAAAAGATGCACCTATGTACAAAAAAATTACCAATTTTTAACAATTCTAGCCCTTATATTTTTTAGTGTCCTCACCTACCAGCCTCTTCCTGGTTTCTGGGCTCTGGGAAGGGCGAGAACACAGCCAGAGGTTTTGAGTTGGCCTTAGTGACAATATTGTATCATTGGCAATTTTATATTTAGCCCTCTCCCCTTTCTCCTCTTTATTCACTTCCTGCTATTATTTGAATCATATTTGTCTCCTTTGTCAAACTGTAAATATTCTTTGGCAGTAGAATTAAAAAAAAAAAAAACAACCTACCACCACCAAAAACCAACCTTTCCACAAATGCCACCAAAATTGCTCTGTGGAAGGAAATTTTCTTTAGCAAGAAATACACCTAAATTCCCCATGGGGGGGGGGGGGTAAATAAGGCCTTGAGCATAGTCAAGAAGTAAAAAGAGAAACTAGTTCGCATTCAAAATAAACTTGAATTTGGGGATGGAAAAGAGTAAAAAGAGAAGAAATGAAGCTATGGAGAGGAGATTAAAGAGCAACAGCGGTGAGAACAACTTGGGGTATAGTTTTTTTCCAAGATAATTTTTTTTTTATTGATTACGTGGGAATTTCATACAATGAACCCTGAGCATACTGA